AAACAAATATACATCTTACAAATATTAAAGATACGAGAAGAACAGAGGAAAGAAAGAAGACTTCATCATCGAAAATACAATAAAAAATAAGGAAAAAAAAAATAAAATAAATAATAAAAGCTCTCACGCACACATTTGTAGATATATATAAAAGGTTTTTTTTTTCTCCCTGAATGATTCATCAAATATATTAAAGTTGAAAAATTGATGCGTAATCACAAAATTGATTTTTCCCTTCGTTCTGGTGTGAATAATTCTAAAAACCGCACCAGAACATCAATCTTAACCTTTAGAAAAACAAATATTTTAAGGAAGCTTCATCAATATACAAACTTATTATTTTAAATCTGTCATCTTTGATCTATGATAAAAAGGAAGATGAAGAAGAAAAGGGAAAAAAATACATTCCATTTAACTTAACGAAGGTTACTTAAATAAATAAAAAAAACATTACTGTGTTAATAAGTACACGCTGTACAGCTCGATATAATTAATGATTTTTAGTATTTAACATAGAGAAATTTTAATAGAATAAAGTGGAAAAAAATGCCTTTTTTTCGCCATGCAAAAAAAAAACACTTCTCCAAGGTATAAATTTAATGGCGAACAAATTATTCATCTCTTTCCCCTTTCACGAATAAAATTAATAAGTTTTTCTATTGACAAACTGATTAAAATAATTCTTAAATAATTTCTAAATTTGATTAATAATTAAAAAAATACTTTAAGATACTTTCGGACATTTAAATTATGAATAAAAGGAATTTAAAATATTTCTATTCAGTAAAGGGGGAAGGGAGAGGGACCCTTTTCATCAAATAATGTTACATTTTCGATCGAGTGCAGACTCGATTTTCTTTAGTAAAATGTGCAAATTATATTAGAATCAAAGTCGTAAGTACTCCTACTTAAGGATCCATAGGGGGAGGGGAATTTACATTTTATTTTTCGAGATGAATGGAAGCGATCAAAAACGTCTTTTATGGAATTTAATGAGAAATATTTTTGTAATTAAGTAAAATTTTCTAGACACGATAACGTTTGTCGATTTTATCTTTCCCCCCTTCTTTATCGCTTTAGGTAAAAGGAGGAAATTGTGTGCTTCGGTCGTCTCCCCCCGTTTTCTTTACAAGAAATGGGGTATTTTGTCTTCGGCTGTTCTACCTTGTGTCAGTTTAGAAAAGAGGAAATATTATATGTGCAGTCATCTTCTTACTTTCTTTTTTTTTTGTTAAAAGAAGACTGGGAGTTCTGCGTTTAGTTAGGGATAACTGAACACAGTTTCCTTTTAGAAAAAGGGAGAAATTCTGTGTTCAGTTATCCCCGTTTTCTTTAGAAGGAACAGAACAATTCTGTGTTCAGTTAACCCTCTTCCTTTAGAAGAAAAAAAATGGAGAAATTCAGCGTTCAGTTACTTCCCACTTTTTTAAAAAATAAAAAAAAAACAGGAAGGATAACCGAACACAAAATTTATATAAATGAACTCAGAATGAATATATAAAATTCTGCATAATCTTCTCCTCCGCATCACTTCTTTATAACAGATTTCTGAAAACAAGTCGAATCAATACCCCAGTTCATTCAATGACAAAATATGCAGCCAACAGTATAAAAAAAAAGAAGAGAAAATAGATTTATACACACGAAAAAAAGGGAGAGGAAGCAACCATTATCATTCTAAATATAAAAGGAATAAACGTCGCTTCCTTTAATAAAATTTTTACTTTAGTGGAAGGATATAAAATTTTACAATTGGCCTCGACCGATACGTAAAATAATGACGTAGTAAATTGACGTCATTAACGTGACCTCAGTTAATTAAATCCGATTAAATGGGAGGGTTATTATTATTATTAATCGGTTAATTTAATTTTAAGTTGTGATTGTATCGAACTTTAAAGGTTTATCAATCTTTACTATTGTTGCCAATGTTGTTTCTTTACGAAAGTGCTTGTAAACATCGATATATAGACGTTGTTCACAGCATGCTTTCAGCAGAATCAATACAGTTCCATTTGTCAAACTTCAGAGCCTGAGAGTGTTCAAATATTTAAACACAGAGCCTGGTCTTGGGGGAATAATTCTGAAGTTATGAATGGAAGGAAAAGTTACTGAGTATCCAAATTAAATTAACTTAAGTTTCAAGTCGAAGACTGTAAAATTCTCTCCTCACAACTGCTCCTCTTCATAACTTTTCAGCTTGCGGTTTAGCTGCTTTTTTTATTATTATTTTTTAAATAAAAATAAAATGCTTATAAAATTTTCAGTTTAATTTTAAAATAGGAGTGATATTTATTAATTTAATTTTTTAAAAGAATTTTAAAGTGTCTGGAAGTATAGAAACTGAAAAAATGCACGTGTGCACAATCTAAAGATCTAGCAAACTCAGCGAATCTTATAAAGGAAAAAATATAAAAAATAGGGGGAAAAACCCAGTTACTATCGATTTATAGAGTTATAAACGTATATTACACTTATAAAATATATATTTTTTTCTTTATAGGAAGGTAGTAAAAAATGTTTACCGATTAATTTTAATATTCTTGTAGTAGTTGCAGTAAACTTAGTTGATACTTCCAACGTATTTTCTACGCTTCCTGTTGGTTCTATCTTATAAATTTTATGGATTTAATCTGGAAAAATTGCAAAAAAATTAGATTTATGCATCGAAATTTATCGCAAACTTCAATATTTTTAAATATTTAACTTCTCGTCTAGCTCGTCTCTCTTGCTCAATTAACCTTAATAAAGTGATTTTATGGAGTTATATTAACCAAGAAAATAATTATTGAGTTAGATTTTATAATAATAATAATTCTTGCATTATTAATTTAAATGCATTTAAAGATGGAATAAGTTCACTTTTAATTAATTTTCTGAAGTTGATTTGTTGAAGGGATAAGAAGCTTTAATGGATATGGAGTTAGAAAGATGGAATTGTTAATGTTATGTCTTATTTATTTTTTTTCTTTTTTAAATTTTATTCTGTTATAGAAATAATCTGAAGCTTTACTACTATAGCAACAAAGCTGATTACTCTAGTAGTAAGCAGCTTAATTTATTTAATACTCGGATGCGGTTTGTTTAGAAGATTATCAACATTTTGTAGGTTTGCAAAGATAAAATTGTTAGTATTAGTTAGCATGGTAATTAAAAAATAGCAAAACTTGATGCGGAATATTATAAATTTTCTTTCTCTCAGTAGAAAATTTACCTATTTATACACGAATTTAACTTAAAAACATAACAATTAGAACCTACATTCACCCGTTTACTACTGTGACTTGGATGAAGTTATAAGAATTTTTCCCTGTACTTACTTGATTTTTCTTAATTTATTTATAACGGTTAGAGGGCCCGGGCCCTCTGGATCCCCCTCTGATTAAGCTATTTGTACCTAGCAGCCAGCTTCAAATCAACAGAGGTAAGTTTTCTATAACAGAAACAGTTATAAAAATTGCAAATTACATGGAATTTAATGAGGAATTTATTATTTACACGATCAATTTTTGGTTATAAAATGTCCGCTTTAAGGCTGTAGATAGCCGCTAACGTGTTATATAATTAAAAGCAACTGGTTGTAAGTTAACAATGTAATTGTTTTTTCTGTAGCGGAAACAGTTATAAAAATTGCAAATTAAGTTTGATTCAATGCGGAGTTTATTATTTATACATCTTTTATTGGTTATAAAATAAATAAAATGCCCGTTTTAAAGGTTGTAGGTAGTAGATAACATGGTAATTAAAGCAATAAAGTTAAGTTTTCTATAATGGAAAGCAATGAAATTGTGTAAGATGTGTTGGCTTCAAGGCCAAATTTATTATTTACATACTCACATTCTGTTATAGAATTAATAAAATTCTTGTTTTAAAAGATGACCACAGCTTTAAAAACAAGAATTTTATTAATTCTATAACAAAAAAGTCAGTAATTTAAAGAGGAACAATTTAAGAAGGAACATGTGAAAGGGGCTCTGTTCCTCTTTATTGTTCTGTGTATTTTTAATTAATTTAATTTGAAATATATGCGCTCGATCTCAAATTAATCTTGCCCCTGTACATCATACTTTTCCCGAATAGAGAAACTCCTTTCCGGGGAAAATTTCTGAATTGAAACCACGTTACTTCCGGTCCAAGCCGGAAAGTTCGTATATAGTTAATCGGGTCTCCTCCCCTAAGCTTTCCATATCCGGTCTCGATTTCCTTATACCTAACGCCATTCTCGAGATTAAGGAAGGACAGACAGACAGTCAGATGGACGATAATGGGAATTTATAAGTCTATAATTTTTTTTTCAAATTGCAGCCCAAAAAAAATATACATATACATTTTATTATTTATATGTCTTTTATTGATTATATAATTAATTTTAGAAGGGAGAAAAAAAAAACAACTTACACTAAGGTTAGATGGTAAAAGCGCTCACTTATACGTCAATTTGACGTCACTTCGATTTAACAATGCGAAGTTCTGAAGAACGACGTCAAATTTACGTAAGAAAACGTTCGACAAACCATAACCAATGGAAGAGAATCTAACAGATATGTTCATTTGGAAACGAAAGTTTATTATTTTCCAACTCATTTCTGATTGCAAAGTAAATAAATTACGTGTCTCTTAAGCTGTCAGCAGTTAGCATAATGATTGACAGTTTTAATTCTAAAGTGGGTTAGAAGCAAAAGAGAAAAAAAAAAAAAAAAAGAAAAGAAAAGAAAAGGTCAACAGGTTTCGCAGGAATTCCTCGGATGAAAAAAAGTTACTAATCCACCCGGCGAGCCGATTCCCGGACTGTCCGGACGATAGCACTATCGTAGGCACGATGCAAGTATGGATTAGGATGTTTCAAATTTTTACAAGATATTATTATTATTTATTGTGAAATTTTGCCGCTCCCTAAAAAGTGCCGCCCCACTACAGTACGCCACTGAAACAAACATCCTCATTTATATATATAGATGAATAATGATTTAAAATGTTATTTTAGTTTTAAAAATACTTACACACAGAAGTAGTCTTGGAATAGATCAATACATTTAGCATCATTTAGACAAGGTGAAATATCACATTTTCCAATATCTTTTTCACAATGTTCTCCAGTCCATCCCTGAGAACATTGACATTTAAAGCCATTTACAGTATCTATACAGATTCCATTGTTTAAGCATGGATTAGAGGCACATTCATTGATATTAAACTAAAAAATAAAATACCAAATTTTCAATAAATTACATAAATGTAGGCTACAGTTTATTAGTAATAAAATTTTAAAATATTTGAAAATAAAAATTATTTTCTATCTTATATGAATAAATATGTATAAAATAATTAAATACATTTTAAAAATTTAAATCATAGATCATTATTTAATTTGTAGTTGCTAATTTCTAGAATAAATTGAAATTGTTTATTCAGAGGCAATCTAAAAAGAGTAATATTAATCCTATAAAATATGTTTTATATTGGTCATCGAATTTACAAAGAATAATCAGTAATCACAATTTTTGAATAATAAAAAGATTCAAAAATTTCAAATTAGAGTGTTTTTTAAAGAATAATTTTCAATTTAAAACAGCTGCTTTACATGAAATTTTAAAATTAAAAAGTACAGTCAACCCCCTATAACACTGTTGATTTTTCCCGTTTTCTATGAATTCCAAGTTGTACGAGTCACTTAGATTTTACAAATACATGTGCTGGCTGTGAACGGCTCATGTATTTGTAAAATCTAAGTGATTCGTACAACATGGAATTCATATAAAACAGAAAAATCAACAGTGTTATAGGGTGGTCGACTGTATTCAACATTTATACCATATATAATTAGTAAGATATTTTAAAACATAAATTATATACTCATTTTTCTGGAAAAAACCAAAACTACATAACCTGTATATCTAAATACAAAAATACTACAAGTATTTTTTACTAAAACTTATATTTTAATGGATCTATTGTTGAAATAAATAGTCAATAATTTATACTAATGTTTAAATTTTGTATGTATTTGAATTATTCTATGCTAATGTAACTTTAAAAATGGCACTGGCCATCCCTATTGTGGCTGGCCAAACCCACAATAGGCTTAAAAGAAAACTCTCTGTACTGTCCACAAGACAGTAAGAGTTGAAAAAGAATAACCTAAAAAATGATCTTTAAAAATATTACTGGTAGTTAAATAAATTGCTCATTGATTTTGAGATTTTTAAGATTTATCTCACTAATGACCTTTATTTTAGATTTAGGTCTTGTAAAATTAATATTAATTCAAAAAAATAAGCAAATAAATTAAATTGTTCACCTGTTAGATAAACAATTTAACAAGTTAATATACTTTTAATCTTTTACAATAATTTAAAAATTCACAATTAAAGATGAAAAGTGTATTAATAATCTGTATATTATTTAATAATAAATTAATATTTAAACTTTCCCAACTATTATGTATATAATATAGGAAATTTTGTATTAAAATTGTAACAAATTTGACCCTCTGGAGTTTTTGCAAATCTTGATGTTTTGAGACCCCTTAAACAAAAAAAAAAAATAAAAAAACAGGAAAAAGTTCCATAGATATGTGTGCATCTATTTCATTTAATACCTCAGGATGGAGTAAAAATTAAGAAACAAAATTTGGTATGGTCACTTGTATATAAGGGCTTGATGCTATTAAATTTTGAGGGAGGTCACATGTCATATCTTGGATGTGGTCGGACTTCACTAAATGAAAAATTTTAATTGTTATTAGCTTTTACAAAATTTCTAAAAACTCATCTCTATTCTCAAAATTAAGCCACTTATATTACAGTATTAATTATAATAAAAAAATTAAAAGTTATTTTTTAATGAAATCTCGTAACAGATGACACTACGCACAATTTTAAACTTTGCTCATGTGTATTAAGAGAAATGATATTTCATTTAAATATCATTTCTCTTAATAGTATGTCTTAATATAAATATGTTTGAAAAGAAATTCAATGTACGTACAAAAGTAGAAACTGGTGAAATTTGTTCAAAGAATAAAAGGCCTAAACTGCAAATAATATATTGGAAAACAAAATATTGTCTTAGTAGTATAATTTCCCATTGTAAAAGTTGCATTGCAAATCTAAATATTATTTATTTTCAAACATTTGCATAATTTATTAAAAATG